TATTTTACAGCAATAATTCAGTCATAAATCTTTTAATTGTACCAATTTAATCATAAGTATTTTTTTACAATTTGGCAATTTTGTCCTAAACCTTTTGAAGATTTGTCAATTTGATCAAAAATTTATTATTTCGATATTTGGCAGGAAGAATTATGTTGATAAATTGTCAAAAGGTTTATGATTAAATTGACATATTGATAAATTTAAGATTAAATTGCCTTTCGTATAATAGATTTAAGACTTTTTGAATAAATTTTTCTAAAAAATATTTATTGCCATTTTACATAGCGTCGGCTAAGGAGTGGGGCTATGGCTGTGGGCCAGAGTTCAAAGATAAAATCAGAGTAATCAAAAGTCTGACGATAAACAAAGGAGTGTCGGCAAGGCCACATGTGACAAGACAACTACAAGCCATTATTGTTCATCATTCTCGTACCCTGCACGTTCTGATCTCAAATGGCCCTTCCAAGTTGCCAATCAACGTATTATTATATATGAATATTAATATTATTCTAGAGTCGTGTTTGAAGAATACACCTTTGACAACCCTCTCCATCTTATCATAACCAGATCTTTTTACACCAGCTGTAATATGCTTATTTGATCAAACCTTGACGAAATCGCACGAAAATAATACGCAGGCCATCGAAATGGATCATCAACTCATTTCGTAACTCATATTTAATGAGTTTGATTATTTTGTGAGTTAGAGTAAATAAATCATAAATAAAATTGGACCCAGCTCTATGGGTTATGAATGAGTTTACTATGTACGTTAAATGAGTTTACAATTTATCTAAACCTAACTCACCTCTATGACTCTCTCTCGCTTTCATTCGATCTCACGCTCGCTCACCTCATATTTTCACCTCAGCTTTGGTTTCCTATATATAAGTGTTTATTGGATTGGGTCAAGTATTGATTGGACATAAGTCACCAGATTTATATTGCATGGAAACGAGTAAAAAATACAAGTTAATTGGTCAATTTAAGAGGGATCATTTTCGACCCGATTCACCCGTTTGACCGATATATTAATATGTCTTTGTTGCATTAGGCCATACGAAGTTACGAACAGATTTATATTGGGAGGTTAAGATGAGCACTTAATGCGATTTAGCACTTTGGATCCGAAAGTTCGAATCCTTTTTCACAGCGTCTTTTCGCTTAGTTGTTCCATTTTGAATTGGTTTTTTTATTTTCTTTTTTATGATAGAGTGTGCTGAGTCCGATGCGTAAATAAAATAATTTTTAAAAAAAGGCATTTGACCACAGCACAAGAAAGAAGGAAAAAAAATGTATTTAATATAAGTATGCCAAACCAGCTACCACGATTGGATCCCAGGCTTGAAATGTTGCATTTGTGCGACGGACCGGTCCTTCACTTGAGGTGAATTATGGTAACGGATTAAATAAATTAGAATAATTATAAAAAAATTCTTAAATTTATTATACGAATGTCAATGCATTACTTAACTTTTCAATTTAATCAATTTAATCATAAACATTTTGACAATTTACCAGTTTTTTTTATCTTTTTATCGAATATAGCTGACATGAACGGCGGTCGTCTCATGTAGCACGGTCGACGCTAGCATGAACAATGTTTTTAATTAAAAAAATATTCAGAGTTTTTTCTTTTTCTTCATTTTAAAAATAAAATTTAAATTAAATGGACATTCCGCTTGAGAATCTCAATAATTTTTTTTTACTTATTTTTCATTACATCTGTAAATCATATATGTACAGAAGAATCTTTGGACGCATCGTTTACGCGTTAGTCATATTGGGCCTAATTCCCTAAAAAACCCAAATCAGTCCCGAACTTTTTGTTATCTTATAAAAAATTCCAAACTTTAGGTCTAGTCTCAAATCTGCCCTGAACTTTTTTTTGTCTCAGAAAAAATCTCAAACTTTAAGTCCAGTCCCAAATCTGCTCTAAATTTTGTTTTATGTAAAAAAAATCACCAAAATTCAATTTGTTTTAAAAAATATACCCCGTAATCCAGTCCCAACTTGACGTGGCACTTCCACGTCGATAATAAATTCACGTCGATAATAAATTCACATCAACAAAGTAATGGGACTTTTTTTAGAAAAAGAAAAGTTCGGAGCAAATTTGGACTTAACCTCAAATTTAGTTTTTTTTAAAATTAAAAAAAGTTTTTTTGGGTGGATTTGTTATCGTCCCTAACTTTCATATTCTAGAATGGTTTTATTTTGGAGAATTTCAACAATTTTTATTGGGTTGGATTTGTTATCGGAGTGGAAATACGACATCGATCTGTACCTATCGCCACATTACTTTGTTGATGTTGATTTGTTATAAATATGGAAGTGCCGCGTCAAGTTAAGACTGGATCACGGGGGATATTTTTGAAAATAAATTGAAATTTGCTGATTTTTTTTTACACAAAACAAAATTCGGGACAAATTTGATACTGAACTTAAAGTTTGAAGTTTTTTCTGAAACAAAAAAAATTCAGGATAGATTTGAGACTGAACCTAAAGTTTGAGAATTTTTTTTAGACAAAAAAAAATTCGAAATAAATTTGAGACTTGACTCAAAATGGGGGGTTTTTTTAGTGAATTCACACGTCATCTTGAGTTTTTATGACCAATTTGAAAGCCATATGTCAAAAGGTGGTCAGTAACTCTGTTAAATTACTTACCCCCCTGGACCGAGAATTGTCATTAATGGTAATAAAAAGTTGAGTACAGTAGCGCATATGATTATATCAGTTGAATTGCTGTATCCTGAGCAGCTTCTTAATTAAATATTTAATGAATGAGAAAATAATGGATATGTAATGAATTTATAATTTTTTTTATCTTTTTTGTCAAAAAAAATAGTTGATATTTGGCAACAACTTAGTTAAAATACATGTCTTGTGTCTATTAGCGAGATGAGTGAATATACACCGAGCATAGTTTTTCTCCTTAATCTTTAATAACGAAAATCCTCTAATATCTGACACATCGGTAAAAGAGGCCGAGACACCATTTATTTATACTGAAAATCTACAAATCGAATGTAGATAGCTTATAATCTAGATTTCATATGATAATAAAAAGTCACTGCCTTCTTATCTCATAAGCTTGGAAATACGTAGATGACTTGGAAGACGCAATACTGATATAGGATCATCGGTTATGATTTTATAATCAAGACGCTTACTACAAAACTTACTTGGTTTATTTTGTTTGAAAAACAAACGAAGCATGCGCATAGGATAAATGTTAAATTGAGTGTGATGTGGTGTGACTCCGAAGACGCCTACTCTATGTTGAGATCAAATTGTAATCTCATGTGTTGCACCATAGTGTACAAAAAGGTAAAAACAAAATTGAGACAGATCGTAAAAAGTATAAGTTATTGGTTCCAGGGCAGCCCAATTCCTGCCCAAAAACCAAAAACTGGACTAGAGGGACCGGTTCCCATTTTTTAGAACGGGAAACGGACCGGTGTCCCTTGAAACCGAACTAGACCTATCGGTCCGATTTCCGGGTGAGCCAATGGAACCGGTGATATATTCAATTTTTTTTATTAATCGTTAATATTCAAGATGAAATTGAAGATATTTATGATAATTAATGTGTTTTTACAATTAACAAGTTACGTGTAGAATTGTAGGTTTCACATAAATTTTTCCAATTTGTGGCAAATTTTGGTTGGAATGAGCAATTATTGTTGTGTTTTAATTTGTTCTTGTCATCTTATTCACGAGTGTACAAGTAAACGTAATCGCTCTAGCTTTAAATGACCTTCCTCCGTAAAATGGGAGATAAATTAGGGTTTTTGTACAAACTTTTAAGAATTAAAAAAAGAACGGTCCGGTCTGGGTGGTTTCACAACTAGAACCGAGAACTGAATTGAAATTTACCGGTTCCAATTTTATAAAACCGGGAACCGAACCGATTTTCTCGAGAACTATCCAGAACCGATCGGTCCGGACGATTCCTTTTGCTCACCCCTAATAAACAGTGGGAGAAGGTGGCGAGAGTGGTGTGGCAAACTACTCCGTTTTACGTGATAAAATATAATATGCATCAACCTTTCACGTATTTAGCTAGCATGACATAATAATTTACTATCTTCTCGCATTCCTTCCGGGCTAAGCAACCAAATAGACGAATGCCTGAGCCGAACCAACCTCCCCGAGATAATTTCTAATGCAATCCGGGGGACACGATCATCGACGCAATTGCCGGATTCGAACGACGGTCGATTCATGCACAGGAAATCCCATGTGCCAAGCTACAACATTCTCATGACCGTCGTCGAGCCAAAAAGTCAACGTCCATGGCCCCCTCTTCTGCAAAAGTCCGTTCTGCATCGAAGTCGACGGAGGGGGGACGACAGGTAAGAATATACTCACTGCTCTTTTGTTCTTTCCTTCTCTTTTTCCGATCTTATCAAGTGTATATGTCCTCTTTATCCCACTTTTTTTTTTTTTTTTTTGGGTCGAATCTCTTTATCCACATGATTCTCACTTCTTCTTTTTCCCCTTTCCGGTCACGTTCGTGGGCCCGCACAGAAGCCGCCAGGGATCTTCATCAGACGGCCGACACCCGACAGTGGGATTCGACGACGCGATCAGGCGCCTCATGAATAGATCCGACGGCCTACGATGCCTCGACTAAGATCAACTGCTCATTCCGATCGTCTCCCAGGTAAAAAGTTATATGTTTTTATCCACGTAATCAAGGGCGGACACGTATCCGACCCGTCGCCGACACGTGGAGTCCGCCCGGCTGCCAGTCAACCTTTCTCTTTCTTCCTCCTTCCTCCCCCCCTTCCTTCGTTCTGTTTCGTCCTCAAGTTGCTTCGTTGGTTGTTGTCGCCTTCCTCTCGACAGTCTCGCCTCTGGGTCCGGTTTGCGTCGTCACTTTGCCCCGGTTACTTCGTCTGTCCGTTGAAAGAGTATATCTCCTTCTTTTTTTCTTTTCTTTTTTTTGTCTTCCCCATTAATGGTTTAGGTAATGACGATAATTCATTGTTTATAGTTCCCGCTGAACTAAATATTAAAGAAATGCCCCTGTCTATATCTTGATTTTCCGGTTCAATGGGCAAATAATAATGGGTCTTTGATTGCGTTTCACATCACTCGTTTGACTTGAGGATGATGATGATGACGGTGGTGGTGATGCGGGCTGTGTGTATTTGGGATTTTTTTTCTTTTTACTCGTTCGTCGATCCTTCGTTGTCGTTCGGTCTTACGGGGTCGTAAATCTCAAATTTTTGTGGCTTTAGCTTCGACCCTTTTTCTTCTTCTTTTTTCTTTCTTTTTGTATAGCGAAGATAGAGAGAGTGCGTGCACAGTTGTTGGTTGGACGAGGGTATTATTCTGGAAATAAGTACAAAAAGAGTGGGAAAGTGCATCCAGGAAAGTGCTCTGGATCTGCCGGGAAATAAATAAAAATTAGCGAAATTAAATAGAATTTGGTGGAAAGATGTTAATATAAAAGCTTTTGGCCGTTTTCGTTGCTTCTGCAGCAGTAAGACTCGCGCTTACGGGATCCATTCGGCAGCAAGGAGTCAGTTTTGAGTTCTTCCTACGGGAAACCTGCCTGTCCACCCTCAACCTTTCTTGTCGAAAGATTCTTCTGTACATATCTGGTTTTATCGCTTGTTCGTTGACCCTTTGTTGTTGTTGTTCCGTTTTGCGGATCATGAATCTCAAATTATGTGGCTTTAGTTTCGATCCCTGATCTTGTTTTTCCATGAAGATAGAGAGAGCGCGTGCATAGTTGTTGTCCGAGCACGAGGGTATATCCATAAAAAAAAAAGTTCAATAAGGGTCCATCTGTGTGTACAGAATCAAGTGGTGTTTGGTATTGAGGATTTGGATTTAGTGTGGTGAGATTGAAGAAGAAGAAGGTGAAGAAGAGGAAGAAGAATGGATGTAACACAGGCTTCAATGATGCACCATGTGTGCATTGTGCTGTTTGCTCTTTGGTTGCTTTCCAAATTCGATCGGTGCACAGCACTCGCCTACTTCGCCTCCTTAATCTATCTCTACCTGGTAAAGCGTTCAATTCCTTCCTCTGTTTCGGTTTGAATTTGTGTTAGCCCTACCAAGGGCTAACAGTGAATCTTTTTGATTTCTGGTGCTTGAAATATCTGAACAAAAAGAAGTGGCTGGTTATGAAATTGAAGTATTATGGTCTATACATGTCCACGGGCTTACACCTGTGAATTTCTTCTTTGTTAAGGTGCACGAGGTTTTCATCATGAGGTTGCGAAAGAAAGTCCAGTTTGAGGAAAAGACACAATCAAACCAGAGAAAGGTATGCTTGCAAGTTCAATATTTCGTTTCTCTTTGATTGGTGCATGGTGGGGTTCTTAGATTTGTCTGGCATCGCTAACTTTTCTTTTGTCCAGGTTCTTACTGATTCCGAGACAGTTAGGTGGTTGAACCATGCCGTGGAGAAGATATGGCCTATCTGCATGGAGCAAATTACATCGCAGAAGATTCTCCGTCCTATCATACCTTGGTTCTTGGAGAAGTACAAACCGTGGACTGCTGTATGAACAATCTCATTCTTCATATTTGTTCCTTGTCAAAGTGATGCCACTGTTACTTTTGTTCGTATAATCTGACATTGTGATGATTGAAAGTATGCCTGACCGAACTCTGTAGGCTAGAGGGGTTGTTTACTATTCTTGGGCTATTTGAGAATGTTCAATTAACCACAACGGTGGATATGAAATGCTGCATTTGCTATATATTGTCCTGTGCTTTGTATTTTTTTTTTTACTCTGCATCTCTTATCTATTCGAAGTTTTGAAGAGAGACCCCTATCCAGGACAGATTTGCCTTGTATCATGTTCAGTGAGTATGTCAATATGATAGTATTGGAAGTAGAGAGTGTTGAGAAATAAGTTAAGTTTAACTCGTTGGTGATGGATTATTTTTGTTGGTTGCTCTATGTGCTGGAGTGCACTATTCCAAAATTATTTCTTCCCTATATCTGTGTCTGTATGTTCTTCTTTGTCATGGCAAATGCTGGTTGTTTCTGCAGAAGAAAGCCTTAGTCCAGCATTTGTACTTGGGAAGGAACCCACCTATGTTTACAGAAATGCGGGTACTTCGTCAAAGCTCAGAAGATGATCACTTGGTAATATGTTTATTGGCATTTTTTGAAAAATATTTTGGAGTATGGTCTGAATGGAGTCTGAAATTTTCGCAGGTTCTAGAATTGGGAATGAATTTTCTCACTGCAGACGATATGAGTGCGATACTTGCCGTTCAACTGCGGAAAAGGTTGGGCTTTGGAATGTGGGCAAAGTTGCATCTGACCAGCATGCATGTGGAAGGAAAGGTACATAATGCATGCATGAGTGTGAAATTCCTATTGTACGGGTATAAATTAGATGATGAGATAGTATAATCTTTTCTGTAGTTGACATTGGACTATTTTCATGTCCACTTGGTGGTCAGTTGTCTTGAGTAGACTTTTGGAGGATGAGATCAAGAAAAACTCTTCTCTGATTTAGTTTGTGTTCCGTTGTCTCTGGTAGACTAGCTAGGTTGGTTAGCTGTTAATTTAAGAAGGCAGGGTGGTACTGATAATATGGACCTGGAACTTTTAGTGTGGTGGTATTGCTGTCTTTCTTTTGCAGAAGTATACACATAGCTCAGTCTCAGGACAGCATATGCTTAGCGATGTGAGGTGGATTGACTTCTCTCTCTTCTGAATCATGAGATTTGTGCTTTAGGAAACCTAGATTAAAAAAGTAGCTCTCGACTCTATATATTGTTCGTGTGAACTCCAACAACAGCAGTTTTGTTTTCTAGGATTTTGTGAACAAGTGGTTGGGGACACTCATTAAACACCCGAATAAGATCAAATTATTATGATCAATGCACAATCTGTCTCATGTTATGTATAATCAATCCATTGGGAATCAACTTTTTTCTTTTATTAAGTATATGGTTAACCAGTGCCTTGGGGCACTCATTAACAAGACCCTTAATTTAATTGTGCTGCTTCTCTCTCACAGGTCTTGGTTGGAATAAAATTTATCCCTAGATGGCCTTTTCTTGGTCGTTTAAGGGTGTGCTTTGCTGAGCCACCGTACTTCCAAATGACTGTGAAACCTTTATTTACGCATGGTATTGATGTGACGGAAATTCCTGGTATAGATGGATGGCTAGTAAGTTAATCACATCTTATATTATATGCAATGAGTTTCTCTCTTCTCCCTCTCCTGTATGCTTGTGTTGCTGTATCTGATACTGAAAATTTCATTTCTTTTGGTAGGATAATCTTTTATCTGTTGCATTTGAGGAGACGCTTGTTGAGGTAAAGATCTTTATCGTGCTCCCTGTATCGTCATTGTCTTCTTCTTCTTGAGGCCAACACGATTTAATGTGCAAACCATCACGCCTTCCTATAAATCTATTAGTCTCACACTAGAACAATATAGTTATTAGGATTAAAAACCTTAACATTTCTATTTTTTGCAGCCCAATATGCTAGTTGTTGATGTAGAGAAATTTGCCGGTCCTCCTCCACAAGGTACATTTCAATTGCCTTCCCCCCCAGTAACATGCATATACAAGTGTGCATCCTGCTGGGATTTCTCAGCATGCACCCATTGAGCATCTGTGAAACTTAAAACAATGTAAATGAATGACAGAGGATTGGTTCACCATAGACATGAAGGAGCCTGTTGCTTATGCCAAAGTAGAAGTCATTGAAGCATCTGAAATGAAACCATCGGATCTGAATGGTTTGTCTTCAACACTCTTTGGCTCTGCTCTCTGCTCAATTTCTCATCACTCGTATTTCATATTTTGCCATTTGCATTGCTTTGAATCATCTGCAGGCTTGGCTGATCCATATGTGAAAGGGCAGATGGGACCTTACAGATTCAAGACCAAGATACAGAAAAAGACATTGGCTCCGAAATGGCTAGAGGAGTTCAGGATTCCTATCATATCGTGGGAGTCACCTAATACTTTGAATTTTGAAGTTCATGACAAAGACCATATTTTTGATGATGCCCTCGGGTTTGTTTTCAGACTCTGGAAGTTGCACTAGCTTTCTTTTATCCCTGCATGTTTTATTCTCTCTTTTGGAAGAATGTTTTTATAGTCTGTGTTTCCACCTGTTTCTTTTGTTGATTGTTCTTTCCCCATCATTATCAAGCTATTAATTTTAACAATTTTAACAAAGAAAGTTTAGCATTTCAACCTCTTTCTGCAAATGTGATTCACGCAATTATGATTCACGTAATGATGAACCACCTGGAAATGTGGCAGAGCGAGTATTTGCATGTCGGCTTTGTATTGACTTGCTTTATTTTATCTGCAGAACCTGTTCTATAAATATTAATGATCTCAAAGATGGACAGAGACATGATACATGGGTGCCTCTAGAGAAGATTACAATGGGAAGGCTGCATGTCGCAATAACTATCGTAGGCAATAGAAAGGTGAGGTTCTTTCATTATATATTGCTGAAAAAGAAGAGAATTTGTAGTAAGCTCCCAAGGGGTCGGTCCGGTGGTCAACATGCTTAATCTCATCGCTGAATGCTTGGGTCCAAGTCTCGTCCCTAGTATTTTGGTGATGGTAGCATATCTACGTCCAAGTAACCCCATCTGCGGAGGTAACCTAAGCTTCAGCCTTGACAGATACAGTGGGTTTCCCTCCGGATGTGTGTGGGTGTGAAAAGCGCAATGTTTCCCCCTGGGAGTTGCGGCGTAGCCTATATAGCTGCCTCCCATTTTCCTCGTCCAACCCTCCCCCCCCCCCCCCACACCAAAAAAAATGAACTTTCTTCTGGACAACCTTTTCCTTTTTGTGACCTCTTCATCTGAACCATGATGTTGTCTTGAGACAGGATGATGGACATCAACCCGACGGTGAACAATTAACTGAGGAGAGTAAAAGAGACTCTTTGGCAACTGACACAACAAACAAAGACTCCTCATCTGTGTCATCGGGGAAATCTGCAAAAGTGGCTGACAAATTTGAACCTATAGAAGTTGATGGGCAGAAAGAGACTGCAGTATGGATTCAACAACCAGGAAGTGAAGTTCCACAAACGTGGGAACCCAGAAAAGGGAAAAGTAGGCGTCTTGATACTGAGATTCAAGGGGAGCAAAATGATGCCTCCGGCTGCATTGGTTCAAACACAGATATATCGGTTTCAAAGGGTGATGAAATCGTCAATGAAAAAGTGGATGATAAACAATCAACAAACCCAGTCCGGCGGGGTATACACAAGATCGGTTCACTGTTTCAAAGAAATCCCAAAGTGGAACATCAGAATAGCATGTCTCGAGAAGTTCTTCCGTCTCCACATGCTAATCTTAGGTCAATCAAATCGAGGAAGATAGGTGTAAATTTTGTTGCTGGAGAAGAGGCTATCGATACGCCTGCTTCTGCTAGGGCTCCAGGTGAAGGGATCACAAATTCTGATGGGAGCGGCTGTGAAAGTCCGAGTAGAGGACATCATAAGAGAAACAAAGCCAAGAACTTTTTAAAGCAAGCAGAGAAATCAGCTCGCACCATTAAGCATGTACTTTCGAGGAAGGGTTCAAATAAATTTAAAGGTGATTCATCAGCTGCGGTGGCAGGAAATGGATCTTCACAATCTGATTCCTCCGATGACGAGTCACTCTCATCATCGGTTAACACTTCAATGGATGGAACAATTCGAATCGAGTCCCAACCAGTATGTCTTGGTGATATCTCAAATGGGAACAAAATTTCGGCAGATACAAGTGATAAAACAATGGATATCGGGAATCTTTCAAAGGATACAAATGTCCAAGGTTCGGGGAGGGCAGAAGATGAGACCACGAGCTCAAACGGGTCTATCGAGCGTAAATTAGATGAGGTGGAGCCCAAAGCAGTGATTTCAGTTCCAATTCCTGAAGACAAAGTTTTGAGCTTCGATGAACAAAAAGGATAAGCTGTTGGAACTTTCCTGCTCCAATTTAGAACACTGTTTTTGCTTCCTTTTCTTCTCTTTTATTCTGTATATGCACCTCGCAAAAAGGTAGTGACTAGGTTGTGGATGGCAAAATTCAGGGGCACTGTTTGAGGTCAATGTCCTTTCCTCCGTCTCTGTGACGGAGATTACTGGTGGTCTATACAGCGTGTCAATTTGTAAAGGATTTTGGTTAGAGAATTCATTTGAATAACTAGTGCTTCAAGCGAATATTTTATCGTTCGACCCCAAAAGATACATGTTCACATGGTCTCAGGTCTGCCTCATGCTTCACCATGAAGAGCTCCATTTTTCATTTCACTGGATGAATGACTAGACCTGGACGACTTGGTGTGCGGCTAATAAAGCTAAAGAATGAAAACTGGCAATTAAAAACCGAAAATGCAGCGGCTGTTCACCGCATTAGCTATATCAATGTCTACAATCTTTCTTTTGGAGTCTAAAATTATGACCAGTTTGATCTTATGAAGTTCTGAATGACTGCCGTCTTCCAAGTAATGGCTCTGGGAGATCGTCCAGTGAAGTTGGATCTTCTTCCGAACTGACAATGAAATTGTGTATCGTTGTACCCCTCCTGGAGAAGAGGGAGAAGAGTCTTGGTCTTTTCGGACATTCGCGAGACTTTCAGTTTTCTGACTTCCTTGAAGATCCACCCAAGTACTCCTAGATCCTTCCAACCGCTATGCTCAACCTCACAAGTTGATCACCATTCACTGTTGCAGGTTCACATTTTGCAAACAACACACGTCCGCACAGCTTTTCTTGAATTTCAACATCCCGCAAGGATGCTTGGCATGGCACGGGCATTAGATAATTTATTGGCGGAGTACCGGAGATTCAACAGTTTAACTCCTCTTCCAACAAGACCTGCGGCTTTCGCCTGAGTCAAGACATTTTTCACCTACTTGCTTCTTGCAGTTAGATAGCAACTAAAGTATTAGACCACCACACCTGGCTCGTTGGAGCTTCCAAGATGCATGTGTTTATATCCTGGCTTGCATCTGCAACCAGAAGTTGATATCTCATCATTTAGAGAAAGATGTTTATTAATTGAAAGGTTTTAAAGATACCTGTGTCGATGATACATTGCCCATCATAATCTTCCATATGCCAGTTAGCTCTCTCCTCTCGGAGCTGCCTCCCATAAATTTTTTGTAGTCATTACCACACTGATTGATCTTGGGGCTAAACTTTCCATCCGTCAAAAAACCATAGTTTCTAAGAGAAATGTTCGTCGGTTCCATTTTTTTCCTCTCCAAGCGAACTACTCTCTAGAAGCTTTTCACGAAAAATGACGTCACATGCATGTCGGGAGAACATGCTCTGAAGGATCTGTCTCCACATCCCCATCTTCGGGACAAAACCGTGCTCGACCATCCGTTTCAGCACCCAATCTACATCCCCTACCAACTTTTCCTTGCAAAGACCTCTTATCACCAATTTATAAGAGACAAAACTGGGATTGATCCCTGCGGATATCATTTCAGCCAAAAATTCCTTCGCCTCCAGGAACCTCCCCTCATCAAGCAAACCATACAAAACCTCCTGATAAGACCCCGCATTCGGTTGACACCCTTTGAGTTTCATCCTCTCTAGAAGCTCCATTGCCTCTGCAACTTTCTCTTGCTTCCGAAGCCCCGAGATCAAGATGTTGAAGGTGATTGTATCTGGGAAAATGCCTTCATTTTCCATCCTATCAAGCAAAGCTTTCGCATCGTCGACCTTTCCTTGCTCGCACAATCCGTGCATCAACGTTGAGAACGTCTTCACATTCGGCCGACAGCGTTGCTTAGGAAATTCGTCGAGCAGTTGGAATGCAGCTTCCAAGCTCCCGTTCTTGCACAACCCCTTGATGAGAATATTCAAGCAACAAGCATCAATCTCAATGCCCAGCTGTGGCCCACGCATATACACCTCATGCACCGCATCAAACAGCTTCCACGACACGAGCAAATTCAACACATAATTAAAACACTTCACCGAAGGCCAAACGTTATATTTAGGCATGTCGTAAAGGGTCTCTATTGCTCGGTTGATACGACCCGCCGCGTTGCCATATATCTTAATGACATTGTGGAAGAACTCGTCGGACAACCTGCAAGGCCTCTCCTTTACGATTCTTCGCATGATGTCTTCAATGGGGTCGAACATTTCGGCTTGCGCGAGCCTGTCTATGGCCAAGGCGAAGAGAGCCTCGTTGGGTTTGTAGTCCTTTCGCTTCTCGTACTGGTTCAGGGCCCCGATGATTGAATTGGGGTCCCTCAGGATCTTGATGATCTTGATGACTTCGTTCGGCGCCAGCCAGTCCTTGTGGTGAAGCCTCTTGAGCGGATCAAGATCGACGGAAGAAGAAGGAATTGCAGAGAGTGGGCGGTGAAATTTGCTGCCGGAAGCAACGAGGGAGCGTGGATTCATTGTCGGAAGTGAAATGGGCGATCAACCGACAGGAACTGACGAACAAGAACTGGTGCCAGCAAGCTTGTTTCAAGGTTTGAAGGGAGAAAGAAATACTGCGCGCTGGACTAAAAAAATAGAACTGAAAATATTTTAGCATAATATACAGCACTATTCTGATGTTTTATTATTTGTCAAAAAAAATACACGCAAAATTATATTATCAAATTCAAAGGTAGCTAATTGGCATAAAAAATAAAATGTTGGGAAAACATAATATGAAGTATTATATATCGTAAATGGTGTAATATCTCCGAGATGCATATAAGCAATAGAAGTTTTTTGTCTATTGACTGTCATGTAAAAAAAATAAAATTATATTATGTTTTTCTGCTCAAATTAAAAGTATTTCCCCAATATAAATGAGTTGCAATTAAATAGTAAAATAATGAAAAGAGAGAAGAAGGATGAGGGTCGATATATTAGTGTGTATATTTTTTATTATTTTTGTGGACATAGTACAAAAACCTTTTCTTGTAATAAATAGAGTCCGGTTTTAATAATTTACATTGTTTCATACCCAAAAAAAAAATTACATTGTTAGGTGAAACACTTGGAAACAACACGTACAACATGCTTATTTCGCGAAAAATGATTTATTGAGAAAATATTTTCCTAAAAATGATCGCTTATATCGCTTGAACTAATTAGTTAATAAAAAATATTTTCATTATCAATAAAAAAATATGTTTAAATATTTTCATCGATAAGAAAAATATTTTTCGTTCGTTTATTTTTATGAAAAATAAAGACGATCATTTTTATGGAAAATGATTTTCAAATGATTTATTTTTCACGAAATAAATGCACGAAGACTTTGTTACAATATATTTATAAAGATATTCACCGTCTTGTCAATATCAACTAAAGGCAGTTAAAAAATCATGTGAGTCCTACAATTAATAATGCATTTTATTAGCAAAACTAAGAAAGCTATCACAAGTCATTTCAAAAATCTTATGTCATAATGGTGAAAGACTGAAAGTTCAATCACATATACTTATCAGTTCGTCCAAATTAAAAGGTTGACACAGGGTCAGTCCTTGCAGAGCATGATTGCTTCAAGTCACTAGTCATGTACATTGAGCACTCATTTACATGCAGAGAAAATTAGAGAGGGTGCAAAATTTGTTAAAAAAAATAATTTGAAAGGCTTGAGGAAGAATCATCTTTTTGCATTTAATTGAAATGTACACCCGAGTACCAAAAAGAAAATCTACAGCTAACAGGTCATATGGACCTATGGGCCAAGAAGAAACCCAAGAAAAGAAAAGAAAAAAGGGTCAAAGAGACCTTAATTACATGATCATCTCATCATAAGTATCTTGCCACAAAGAACCGTAACCTTGCTCTTCAAGAGGAACTCCATAGTAAATCTGAGAATAGTCACTTGTAACTCCAAATTCAACCATGTTATTCATCATCTCATCATCTTCGTACTGGTCCATGTACCAATTCATGTCATCACTTGGCGACGAAGGCGCCATCTCCATATCAATCCAATCGAAATCGAAGGGTTCCGTGGAATTCCCCGCAGTGCACCGTCCGCCATGCTCTTCGAAAGAATCGCCGGTGAATTCGAGTTCTCCGACCAAATCGCGACCGTCGACCATGTCCAGGTTAATCTCGGCTTCTAAAGAACGGATGACGTCGTTCAACTGCTCGTCGTCGCGCTCTTCGCCCTGCGGCGATTCCTCGAGCAAGGAAAGGAGTATGTCATTGCTAACGGACCCTTCAAGTTCATCATCTATCATGGAAGTGGATGCCCAACACTCACGTGCAACTGAAGAAGCCATTGGTGATCAAAGGAAGTTATAACAATGAAGAAAAGAACAAGGATCAAACTGAGACCAGGAGAAGAACTACAGATGGAGAGACTAGAAGAGTTCTTGCAATGACCCTTTGGAGGGCAAGCAGGAGCTTATATAGGGAAGCACCAAAGGTAAATGAAAAAGACATCTCCACTTTGCAAGACAAGGCCCACCCAAATCGTGTGCACATGTGCAACTGGGAATATGTAATGGCCATACCTAATAAACGTAATTATGGAGTAAGTTCACAAGTTTATGAACTTAAGACTGTGTAATATAATGAAAGTGGGCGACTTAATCTCAAATTATCTAGCAAGGATGGGGCTTCCGGGCAGGCAAAATCCACCATTAATGCAGATCTGACTCATGGAGGGCCCGACAAGGAAGCCCGAAAACAAAGGGCGGACGGTTCGTATTAATACAATGGATCAAGAGACAGATGGAGAATGACGGGAGACACAAAGGGGATACGCCATCAAACTCTGTAGCCTCGACATGGATACAAATGATTATTCTCCATGCATAGTATGATTTCATGAATGCAGTGTTAGGAGAGAGTGATTTGATTATGGGTAATCTCGAAGCAACGAATGCCTCTCAATAATTTGTTAATGTTTTATTAATAGATCTCCCGAGATGACACGTGACAGTGCTGAAGAGGTCGACAATCCTTGTACGATAACCTCCATTTCTAAAACACCAAAGAAAATGCCATTTTTAATCTTGTGTCAAATCTACTAATCCGGAATGGAGACATATACCCGTGACCAATTAAATCAAGTCAAGAAGGTACTCAAACTTTCTTGTAGAAGACTTCTTCCGCTTTGTCAAATACACGAGTTTGTCAATCAATCGCCGCGAATTCCATGTCGTCCCTATTAAAAGGGACCAGTCGATATAGGTAGGCTCAACCCCGTGTCTGATATTTAATATGTCGAGTACCATATAATCTACATAGAGATAACAAGTACATGTAAACCGATCGAGTTACTCTGTGATGCATGCCCATATCTTATGCAAGTGTGTATTGACAGATTTTGACGCATGTGTCTGTCGATTCACAGGGACGTGGAAAGTGGGGTGCTTTGAATATATGCTGCAGACATGGATAGCACCTTGTCGTGGACCGCTAAACAAAAAGACGATGCTTCCCATCAAAGACCGGAAGAGAGAGCACCCAAGTGGCTATTGATGGAAGCAAGATTGTAAGGCTTCGATTCCCTAAATCTTTGACCATCGGCCCACCGGTACTGGTGCACATGGTGTGCCACCAGAGACCTCATTAGCACCTTCCATTTTATAATTGACAAAGAAACCAATCAATTCATCGATTAGTGTCCGGTCCACCAATGCAAAGAGACTGTCATAGGCCATGTTGGGTTTCTATAATATCCACCATACTTCAAAATATCATAAGAGATTTCGATTGCCAGGTGTTACGTGGAAGATTGCGATGTTGAATGAACCGACACCACATGTGGCTGTGTTCTCAATGGACCAACCTCCAATACAACCCTGCTGGCCAAAAGACCTTGATATTATCCAAAAGTCTATTGCTTATTTAAATGTCATCTCTTGTTGTCCTTGTCTCGAGGACTTTCACAATGTATTTTTCTATTTTTCACTTTCCTTTTCGAATATTTTGGTGCGCGCACTTTGATTCTATTTTTCTTTTAGTTTTAATAATTTGAAACTTTCACGATATGAATGTTGACATATATACTCACATCTAATGGTTTTATTAGTTTTAAAGTTTGAATAATGTTTTAGGTTTGGACAGAAAAGTAAAAGATTTGCTCTTCTTGACTTGTTTAGTAGTCAGAACAACAAATTCGCGCAACGAAGCTATCATATTCCTGGGTTTATGCCTCGCCACTCGCAAATGGAAGAAATGAGCTCACCATGGAGCCCTAGACTAGAGGACAGAATCAAGAAACCCTACGGTGACCGCATAAAGCCAGCCACTTTCATTATAAGTTCCGAAATAATGAGATTTCAATATTTCATCAACTTAAAATAAAAAACTCTATGAATGGGAATCGTTTGTCTTTCCATAAAATATATACGAATTGTTGCATAACACTCGAGGGAAAGATTGAGATAGGATCGGAACCGCCGTACAGAGTTTCGCATGCGCGTGACAAACAAACTTGGTGTGGATTTATCGATTTGAGATTTTTTGTAAGACGAAAGTTAGTTTAGACTCACTTTAGAGTGAATATATCGTAAGAATATCAATTTATGATTTTTTGAGACGAAAATTAATTTAGGTTAATATGTTTACCGGTTTGAGATTTTTAATGGTATTGACATTTCGAAAAGGATTGTGGAAGAATGAGTTTCAGCTGTGGTAATGCATTTCTCTAATATAATTTCATCAGCTTGAATAAAGTGCATGTAGATTCGATCTTTTTGGGATGAAACTTTTCGTAGAAGAACGAAATATATTACCCAAGCATTCTGTAAATGAGAGGCTATACACATACGAGATGAACTATCTTTCCCCATGTACACAAAACTTACACAAAGATCATATTTACATATATCATTTGTTCCTAATTTACATGTTATTATGTTATCCTAGACCCACACCACACCCACCGGCTCCGCCAGCACATCCGCCACCACAAGCGCCACCACCTCCTACGTCAATGCCACCATCCTCACCCACTTCAGTACCCTTGTTCGTACCGGATACTTGACCAACAATGGTGGTTACAGAGGCTGTAGTCGCAAAAGCGGCAGCTACTCCAGTCCAAATCACCATTCCACCATCTCTTGCATCACTGCTACCGGTATTCTCACCACCTTCATTGGCATCAAAGTAAGTCTGATTTCTCTTTGCCTTGACAGATTCAAGGGTCGGTTCACTGGCATCTTTCCTTTTGCAGCTTCCACAGCATAGACAAACATGACTTCTTAGATTCACCATTGCAGAAAATGCTTGCTCGGACAGATCAGTTTAGCAGTGTTCCATTCCCATCTCTCAGAGGGAAATGTAACGCTGTGAGCATGCTCTCAGAAAATTGGGACCTGAGATGCATATAAAACCCCTGCATATGTATTTAATGAGGTTTCTTAAAAGGGAAAGGTCTAATCAATTTAATTAGAAGTTAGGGAAGTATAAGACTGACATGTGATCGACTCCTGATTTATCCTAGCAAGAAGTTCTGCCTTTAAACGGGTTTTGCCTGGGAATGAATGCATTCACAATCATGACTATGCTCTATCATCTGCACAGATGATGAGTATGCACAGAGAGAGATTCAAAGTTAAGTCAAGATAGCAGTCTGGTCCATTCCATGAATGGTCAGCCACCATAATATACACATCGTAAGATATAAATTGCAATATCGTAACAAACTAAGCCAAGGATGATGGAAATTCAATTTCTTAATTGTTTACCTACCCCTAGAAATTGAAAAAGAAATCCAGAAACAGTTTCATGAGGCTGAGTCTCATAAATTCCAACAGACTAGTCATAACTGATAAAGAGAGGGCATTCTATCTAAAGGCAGAATGGTAATTGTTCACACTGTCCTACGGGCAAAATATTTGCTAAGTCCGTGCACAATCTCAAAAAGGTATCTAGATATTTTTATTTTGAAATTTTAATAAAAAGCTTGCTGGAACATATTAGGCCAGCCTGGTAATAGAACGTTCTACACAAGTATGCATCAAACTTCAATATTCAATTGAAGTCACAATTTTTCTTTCCATATTTGGATAATTTTTTCTGTTTTTACCACGTTTTTTTGTTCCTTCAAAAACTGAAAGGCAAACTTCGCGCACAATTATGGTTTCCGATATGCAATTAAACACGCAAAATTCAAGAAGGTATAGCAAAGAAATGAAAGCCAGGTTTATTCATTTTCTACATTTTCAATAACCCAGACAGCATAAGGGAAAACCCACATCAAAGATGTGATCCACAAAAATAACTTTTCCCCGTCTTTGCTAGGTGAACCAAAAAAGAAGTTAGCCAAGCACAAATGACACTACGTCCTACACTCTCCTGAAGGACAACTCTGTAATTTCCAATTTGACCGACTCTAGAAAAAAAAAAAGCAGAAGTATCCCCAGCAAAAGCATATCATGAGAAAGGTTAGTTCTGTAAAGTCAATGCTGAAAAAATGTATCAGTATGAAATGAGTGTGGATTGAGGAAGGAGTGGAAAAAATCAGCACAGTCCAAAATTTTCATTGCAGTGAAAGAGCTCAACCAGGACTTAGAATTATATGAGAACCTCTGTAAGATATAACCCTCAGATCAAGCTCCATTTCGACCACATGGGCCACTGCATTTAATGCAAATGGACATCATATATATGCCTTTTGGTGTGTAAGAAGCACAATACCATGAAAAGAAGAAAAACAACTTGCACATGCATTCCTTCTGTTCCAAGGCCTTAGTGTCTTTTGAAATCAATAGTGCAAAAACATTTTGGAAATGGTTAGCAGAACAGGATCAGATGTCCAGTTGATGAAAGTCATGCATACATGTCCTGGAAGCTCAGCACAGCTATAGTTTGCTGCACCAGGAGACATCCAGAGACGGTAAGCCATCATAAGTACCTGCAATCATCATCATCTTCCACTCTGCTCATCCCGAGTAATTGTTCCAATTTCTCATTCAAAACTTCCCAGTTTAAATCATAAAGCAGGCAACCTACCTATTACAGAATGAAGAGTCTCAGATGAGTAAGGCTAACATCAAATATAGCCATATGACCACCTGCAGCACAAGCTGGGCAGTCTTAGGCACAAGATCAGCCAGACATCATCATCACGGCCCTCCATTTGACCAAACAACTGATATGAATAAATAAGCCAAATGGATTTTCTATCTTTTCATGAAGCATAGTGAAACGAATTTATGGCTCACCTCGTTTCTTTGTGATGTTAAATTTCTGGAAGCTCTCATATCATCCTCTTCTCAGGACCCCACTCTCAGTACCGATTTGTTACAAATGCAACTGGAACAACTCTTAGTCGAGCAGCTTCAAGTGGCTACCTCTGACTAACACCCCTGGGATTGACTGATAACCTGCAGTTACAAGTCAACACCATCAGTGATAACACAGCTTTCAGATACAGAAGAACAGGTGAACGGGAATTGACAGACAAAAAAGAAAATGCACACAAGGTGCAATCTCTTAACTGCTGCCCAGAAATACAAGCAAATACCAGGGACAAAATAATCATATCTGAGAAACTCCTTACCAGAACACCTCAGGGTTAATATTTTGCAACTTGCTGAATGTAAAACCAGCGTGTGGCACAAAAAAGCTGCCACTTGTACTGTAGCTCTCAAGTGCAGTCAGGAGTGCTTCATCCCTCAACAGCATTTTCATTGCCATAATTTACATTACATTGAATTAGCAAATGCACCTCTCAAGTGCAATCATCTGCATAACATGACAAAATATCTCAGAGAGAACTGAGGATCAACAGATTAATAGTGATCACTGTGCCACTTGGACCCAACTGCTTCCAGGTTGCCTACGAGGATTAACTTCTTTCAGTCTTCCCCTAAATTCTGCAACATCCTCCCACAGTGAAGCTGACGCATAGATGTTAGACAACAGGAGATAGTTTAAAGGTCTGTTAGGCTCTAACTTGCTTAGCCTCAGGGCAATTTTATTTGCTGTTTGAACATTCCCATGTTTACTGCAGGTGTTCAATAATGTCTTCCACAGAAGAGATCTCAAATCTGACGGAACTTCATTTATGAGATTCTCTGCCTCATCCAAAAGTTCAGCTCGACCCAGGAGATCAACCATGCAGGCATAGTGACTTACCGTTTTCTCTGAATTATATTCATTTCTGAGAGACTCAAAAATAAGCCAACCTTCTTTCACAAGCCCAGCATGACTACATGCATTCAAGACTCCAACAAAGGTGATCGCATCTGGTTGTAACCCTGTTTCCTTCATCTTATTAAACAGCACAAAGGCCTCTCTACCCTGGCCATGTCGCGCATATCCAGACACCATAGTTGTGTAAGAAACCAAATTATGGCATTCGATTTCGTCAAAAACCTTACATGCATTTTCCAGACTTCCACACTTGCTATACATATCAATAGTCGAGGATGCAACATGCACATGTGACATAAAACCAGTTCTGATAATGCAGGCATGAAAGAGTATACCCAACTCTAATGCAGACAAGCCAGCACAAGCAGAGAGACAACTTGATAGTATAGAATCATCCACCAAGTACTCGGGTGAAATTAGAAATTCAGAGAAAAGTTTTAGAGCATGATCATAGTGCCCATTTTGAGTGCATGCAGTAATCATGGTACTCCAGGAGACCAAATCTCGCTTCATCATAGATGAGAATACAAGAAAAGCATCCTGAATTCCGGATTTAAATGCTGAATACATATTGATCAATGCGCTTCTAATAAAGAGATGAGACTCAAATCCAACTTTTAGAATGTAACCATGGATTTGTTTTCCTGTAACCAGCGCTTCTGTCTGTGTGCAAGCCTGAAGGACATTCACAAGAGTAAATTGGCTAGGTTTTACAGAAGTTGAAGTACAAACCAAGTCACAGAACATTCTCAAAGTTTCTTGATACCAGCCTACTTCATAGCAACCGGACATTAAGACCGTCCATGAAAACTCATTGTGCATTTGCATTTCTTCAAACACCAGTTTTGCATCATCAACTGCTCCACATTTAGCATACATGTCGATAAGGGCATTTTCTAAGTACAATCTATAGTCATCATCATCAACATTTTTTACAACATGACAATGTATTGATCTTCCTTCTTTCAACAACTGAAGATTTCCACAAAGTCGGAGTATGGCACTAATTGTGGAGTGACTTGGTGCAAGACCCTTACTCTTAACCTCGTAGAGCAAATCAAGAGCCATCTCACTGTAATGATTGTGAACTAAATTGCTAATCATCACACTAAAGCATATCTCATTTATACTGTTGACATCAAGGAAGCATTTGTAAGCTTCGGAAACCATTCCCATGCCTCCATACATCTCTATTATAACACTACCCAGAAATGAATCTAATTTGAAGCCATATTTAACCAGAGAGCAATGTACCTGGTTACCAAGAGCTGCACTATTCACATTTGAGCACAAACTAAAAACACTAGCTAGTGTATGTATGTCAGGCTTATTACCTTCAGCAAGAAACGAGATATAGCAGTTAAGGCCTTTTTCAGCATCTCCACTCTGATGAAACCCAGCCAATAGAGTACAGCAAACCACATTATCTTTCTCTTCTAGATTCTGAAATATTCCAAAAGCATCGTCCAGGAATCCCAGTTTTGAGTAAGAATCAACCAGAGCTCCACCTACAATAACATCATTTTCTAAACCAACTTTAAAAATTTGGCCATGAAACAATCTTGCCAAGCCAACATCCAATGTGTCAGTCGCTAACTTTGCAAGGATCGCATAAGTCAAATGATTTGGCTGTACATCAGACTGCATCATCTGATAAAATAGCCGGACAGCTTCCTCTATATAGTTGTTCTGTACATAAGAATCAAGTAGAGTATTCCATAAGGCTTCAGATTGTTCGCCTAAAGGAATGCTGTCAAACATCATACGACTGGTTCTTAAGTCTCCCCTTTCAATATAGAGGCCAAGAACAGAAGCACTGCAGAACCCATTAGACTCGAACCCGCATTTGAGCAACTGAGCATGGATGAGCATTCCCATCGTGAAATCATGAGCAAGTCTACATGCCTTAAGCGCCACCGGGAAACCAAATTCATTTGGCTTCACACCGGCCTGGCACATAAGAGCATACATCCGCAAAGCAAGCTCATATTGGCCGTTACTCACGTACGAAGAGATCATGCCGGTCCAAGACACCAAATTGCGTTCGCGCATTTCGTCGAACAGGAACCGGGCATTCGCAAGATCACCACAGAGAGCATAAAACCTCACCATATTGTTCTGCACGAACACTTCCCGATCCAACCCAGCTTTTAGCATGACCGAGTGAAGGGACCTGCCGGGGTTCAACGCTCTGGTGTCGCCGAGATGTTGCAAGAGGGAGACACATTCTCGAACGTCGAGCTTCCCACTTTCTGGTACCGTGGTGAAGTTTCTGAGCGACCTTTGAAGCAGAGAGAGAGGCGTTGTCCTGCGAAACGTCACTGCGGAGCGACTGCTTAAAAATGTCATCTTTGCGCATATTCATCTGCTTATGGCGGCTTCGAACAGCTGCGTGTTTGTAATAGCAGTGTCAAGATCCGAGGTTTGCCTTAAAGGGGAGAGGAGCAACGTAGTAGCAAAGAGGGAAGGGCCGCCCCCACACGCACCCACAAGTTTCCTTTTCCATGCGATGCCAGGGTTGAGGCAAGGGCAATTTCGTAATAATGGGTAATTTCAACTTTTGATGAATATCAACTTAAACAAAATAAATAATGATATTTATGTTTGTGACCCATTTAATCATACGCATGATTAAAGGAAATTTCTTAAATCTGGGATGGAAGAAAGCATGCTCTTTTCCTTTTTGTCTGGGTTCTAAGACTTAAATTTCACTTTGTCTTGTAACAACCACGCAGGACGTTCACCCCACTGCTAGAATCACATTGATGAAATCACAAATCAGCACTCTTCCTTCTTCTTTTCCTCCGCTTTCTCCTTTAAGCAACTAGCACTTGAACCAATTAGTGATTCCAATTTTCAGGAAGCTCGGGCTATAATCGCACATGCAACGACGAAAAGTAACATAAATTGAGAAGATTAATCAGGTTGTAAACATTATTTTATCGAAGGCTGACTCGGGTCGATAGGTATTGATTTTATCAATGTAATCTTTAAGCTTATATCTCCTCAAAATACTGGGGAAAGTGATCTGGTTGTACTTTAAATTTTGAATCCACTAGTACGGTTATCACCCAACCCCTATGAACTTATGCATAGATGCACATCTGGAGAAAACCAACTTTGAAATTTGCTTTCGGCTGGCCAAAGTGAATTGCCTTTTGGCCCCTATGCCTTCACTTTGGAAGAACCGAAGAATCACAGGTGGTAATGAGGTAACGAAAACAACTCCATTGTGCTGCTAACCTGATCATCAGTTTGAACTTCGATCAAATAAGAAGAACCCAAGGAGGACAGGTAAAAACATTCCCATTTCAATCAATAATGCAAAGAAACAAGAACATTGCGTCCTCCGAGTGCTTAAGTACGATATCTGACACCCCATTAGCAAAGCATTTAATCAAAAAAACATGGGGCGTTGCATCTATCTAGCTAAGCTATCTGACCATCTGAAAAATTCCTAAGAACTAGATATACAATGACTGGAAGTCCGTGCAGCAACCCGCTTAGGGTAACGACCATTGTTTACATGTGCATTACAGTTCCTATCACTGGATGATCCGCTCGGTGGATTTACTCTCTGTTTTGACCTCTCTCCTTTCTGTGCTCTACTGGTTTCTTGGGTTGATAAGTAGGAATCCAGTACATAGCCCTTTTCCTCCGAGACAAACCTCGTCTGCGCTCCACCGTTCAAGAGTAATCTACAGGAGACGGCATTTGGTGGGGAGTACTCTGAACCATACAAGTTGCTGAAGATCGAGGAGATTGGATCTACATTGCACAGATCGGCATAGTCTCCAGTGCTGAAAGAGTCTCTCGTACTCTCCGTAGTAAAAGAAGCTGCCTCGTCTGAACTCGTAAAGAGAGACCAATCGCTTGATGTAGCATCAGAAAATTCAGTGCCAAATATCTCGTTATAATTCTCAATCAAGGGTCGCCCATTTTCGCTGAACCGAGTAACGCCAACAGACGCACACTTTGCTGTGCCTGCAGCAATATATGGTGGTCTTGGATCCAGTTTAGTTTCATGGCCATCAAATTGGCTGTCCTGTTTGGTCTCTGCTGCTTGTCTGGAAGACTTTTGACTTCTTAATACGCAATTTCTTTCGGATGCAAAGCCTGGATCTCGGACAGCTTTCCCAGATAAACTTTTGTGCGGGCGTGGATAGGACCTGAGAGAGAGTGAACAAATTGAATTACAGAAAGTCTTAGAGATGCTTCACCGGATAGTCTTCAATGTCCCTTCGGAATCTTTGCAGAGCCAGGAACAAGTTTCAGTGTTTCTCATGCTCAGATAGACAGAGTCCACAAATGATCTTAACATTGAAAGGGTTAATTACCTCGTGTAAAATAGGATATATGCTCCTTCTGACATTACATGGCTCATTGGTACATGTTGAACCTGTTTTTGGCACAAAGATTACACCTCAAAAATAAAATTAAAAAGGAAAAAGAGACCTAACAAGTTACAACTGATAGTTAGGTTTAACTAAAGATGGATTGAACACATCAATCTCATCTTAATCTTTCTTCCTTTGACTAACTGTCCAATAATGAGCTACGAGTTAAACTGGTAGAAATAAGTAGCAATAAATGATAGGTGAACCAAATCATGCAAAAAAAAGTTATTTACATGCCCTGTAAGATACAAGATGCTTCTAGACAAGGAGCATTTGCGATTTCAACCCAAATAAGAGTGGCCTTGGGGTGGACGCAAGAGAGTTACGACAACACTTAAGTCAGGGATCTTTCTGTCCACTTAGATCAGATATAGGCAACGCCCTTGCAGCTCCTTGTATGAGCCAGCATCAATGGTGTCGAGACCAGCTTTTACTATGCGCTATTGAAAACTAAGAAGATATATGAACATAACTAACTTTATATTCTTGGAGGGATGTCAACCTCAACCTATTATGGAATTTTGTGAATTTAAACATTTCCACGGTCGCAATGGGTCGTGTCCTAGTTGAAAGTCAGGAATAATTTGTTTTGATTTCACTAGCCCTGCCTTTGCTTCATGAGTTTTTTAATGCAAAGGACTCTCTTTTCTTGAAAGTTGGTTTCCAGGGTGAAAGGGACTGCAGGTTTTGGCGCTGAGTTTTTTTTTTTTTTTGGGGCCCATTTTGGGGCTGAGTTGAGAAGAAAAAGTTTACGTAAGTAGCATCTTTATCAAATGAAATTCAATCTCAAAAATCTCCAATCAAGTTACAGATGTTTAGAGATGTTACCTCAGTGTCGTCTATCCTGAACCAACTGCCTTGCAAATTTCTCACATAAGATATATAATGTCCGGAAAAAGATGCATTCTGTGTATCCAGATGGACAACCACAGCATAAAGCATGTAAAGTGGAGGCATGTCGCCTTTTCCTGTCATGTATGGGATCATATCCAGCATTTCAGGAAAAGTAATGCACTTAGTTATTTTCCCATATCTTCCTTCCTGGAGAAGAGAGGCATAATGTATTGGATCAGTTCACTCATGTCAAAGAGAGAATGCGACTAATATTACTTAACCACTAGGAAGATCCAGGCAACTGGTTAGTAATAATTATATGATCAGCATATGTCATGTGAAACCTATCTGAGTTCATTTCCACTGCTTGAAGTCAAATCAATCATATTTACATCAACTAGGTACTCTATTTGGTACCACTCTTGCAGCCCGCACCGAAACAGCGCTTTACCCCTACATGTCCAGTCAACCGCAACTGCCCATCCTACCTCCTCTACGTTCTTGACTGCCACTCTATAAAAAGTATCTAAAGAATTACAAGTCCAATACATTCTGTTTAGCAGAAAGACAGTATTCCTTGCTCACTTAAAGTTAGGGCATTTCCCATTTTTAAAGGAACTTCAAGTTGGCCCTTGCGAACGGCTTGATCCACTATCTAAGCAACATAACTGTCTAAGCTGTAATCTTGAGCCAAGCATCTTAACACTGATGAGTTAAATAACTTGTCAAAGCACCCAATTCACAATTCAAAATGCTACCTGGAACCTCTTCAATACAATAGTCAGGATATTGGGTGCCTCGTGTATACTCAACTGCTTTCTGGCTCGCACATATGCAGCACATCTAGTCACCAAAATGTTTAGATAATGGTAAGTATGGGCAAACAAACTATATGCACGTTACAAGTCGAAGAAGAATGGTATCTAACCTTCCACATCTGTACATGTTTTCTCCATCCAGATCTTCTGGAGTTGTAAATTGTGTCAATGCATCTTCCAATGATTCAACCGGACCGTATATCTCCAACGTGAGATCCATTATGTTTTCATATCGCTCTGACTCGTGATGACATCTCAAACACTTGACCTGGAAAAGAGGAGATTCACTTTTCATGATTTCAGGGAATAAGATGCAAAAGCAGAAAAATGAAGCTGCTGCAGCATTTGCAAGGAAAAAGAGGGGCAATCACCTTCGATCGGAGGCGCCCACCAAATGTATATTGAATGAATGTTGTTTCTTGCAACCTTGGATCAACCTTCTTCTCCCCACCCAATCCCTCCAAGCAAATGGACTGCATTGATGCGACGAGAAGCCTAGAGAATGACACAAAAGGATAGTGCATTGAAATTCTGGAATAGGCCCCGTTCAATATCCTCTCTTTCATTTATTTGAAAATTCAAATTCCAAGAATTCTTTCAAAAGATTCACGGCTACAAAAAAACAAGCACGAAGTCTTTACAAACGTGTATTTACATATTCGAAAAGTTCCCTTTAAATACCTCAAAAATTCATGAGCATCTTCCTGACTTCCTTCACCAATATGGCGATTAAGACTCCGCATGTGCACCAGTATTCTGCTAGGAGACAGTGGTGCACCGAATTCTCTCAGCATCGTCACATGTTGCTCAAGTTCACACAAAAGACACCAATCTTTTCCAAAACCTGGAATGCATATAAAAGATACGAGGATAGATGATGACAACCTAGAGGAAATTATGCAAATTGGTAGAAAGCAATGATCAGTTAACTACAAAGAGTATGAATGGATGGAATTACAGGCTCTTGAATGTTCTTTGTGGAGCAAATAGATAGTGAGAGGCTTTGTATATGTCAAACACTGCAACACAGCATTGGCATAGCAACTGCAAAGCAAATATGAAAACAAGAACATAAGACATCCATGCTGATGCCAATAAAAAGCAAAAACCTTGATTAGCTTTAAGGCTAGAACTTCTACAGTGACAAATAGAACAATAATTACATGACCATCATCTCATAAGTAGTTTTCTATTAGTATTTTCGTCTTTAATTCATTGCTTCAGAACTATCTGTATAAAGAATCACACTTCACAAGAAATTGCAGTCTTTCGTAGTCTCATACTCTAACCAGATGATTTAAGCTGAAACCAAAAGCAAAAGCAGAAGCATGATAGAATCACCTGTTGCCGCAATTGATAAGTCCCCTAGGTGATAAGTCGAAAACTTCATACTGAAAGAACCTTGTAAATTCTTCATAAGGAAATAGCATCTGTAGTAGAAAATGTTTTAAGACTTTAAGAGACACTCTTTTCCTTATCAAGGGAAAATGTCTAAATTGCAAGAAAAATGCATTTAATGGTTACTGACCTTAGATTTTTTTTGCCTCTCGCCATTATGTTCCGAAGCATCCAAGCGGGTAAGTTTCGTTGACTTCCTTACACCCATCATCTTCGTGATTCCAGTATTAGCGAAAGTACTGGTCCCTTCTGCAGCAATTACCCCTAGCACTAGTGAAGCTACTTCAAGAAATTGGGATAAACAATAAAATGCTTAAGATTGCAAATAGCAATCAACTAAATGAACTCGAATCACCTGTAACTTGTTCCCTCCTCTCACTCCCTAAGCATCGCTCAGTAGACGCTTTTATCATTGAATTCGGTGGTTTAGGTACACCGCTCTCAAAAGAAAGCGAAGCCCTTTCTGCTTTAACACTGCCCCTTGTAGTCGCTTTAGACTGACAGTCCGATTCCATGGTTTGAGCACTAGAAGTTTCAAAGACATTGCTACCACCTGGAACAGTAAATGGGGATTTCTCACTTGAACTGACCCCATGTTCTGATGAAGAAAAGAAGTTGCCATGATTCTCCCTTGTATTAGATAAGTTCTCTTGTTGGCTTGCCCACTTGCTATTCTCCTCAATTTTATGAGTCAAACCAGCATATCCATTGATATACCCATTCATGCAATTGAAGCTGTTCCTTCCAGTAGTTTCTCCTTCAGACCCTAACGATCCATTGGTATTGGCCTGCACATAATGAAGAATAACATTTAGTAAAAAAATCCAGCCATCATGAGAATACCACAAATGGAAAAAGAGTTGTCACAAAAGATGACACCTTATGCCTTACAAAAGCCTCCTTTCGGGGGCACAAATTAAAAGAGGATGAACACTCAGTCATGTTCCCACTAACTTCATCAAGGAAATCATATTTGAATCCGTCATCTTTTCTTGATATTCCCCTGCATAATTTACATGAAACTCGCTTCTCTTTACTCTTCCTCTCTGCTGCTGAGACTTGAGATGCATCAATAGACGAACAAGAAACAGAAGCTGAGGAACTGGAGCTCACAGAATTGTACGTTAGATCATCCAGATTTTCTTCCATTAAGCCGGGCTGAGGACATGAATTGTTCCAGGTGATGGCCAGTGGTTGACATTCTTGCCTATGTACTTGCCTCCAGTGAATTATCTGACACTTACCGGAACTGCGTGCAAGAATTTTAAGGTATAACTTAGTTCTGCAAACACTCCTGCCATTAGATATTACAGATGCACAGTTTCTGGAATTAACCTTTCTGTTCATAATATAAGTTTCTCCTTTTTCAACTAAATGACCACAGTTTCGCTCAAAAGAAAATATCTTAATTAAAAGATTTCCATGATTTTGAACGGCAATGCTCAATGCTTTTCCATCTTCAAGAGCCTCCATCAATAAATTAGCAACATAAATAAATAAAAAAGAATCCATTGGTACACCTAAAACTGGAGTTTTTGAGTAAAATGCACTCGAAAATCGTACAGAGATATGTCTAAAGTAAGTGATTATCATCCAAGGAAGCAGAAATTTAGTGGATCAAACTATACAATCGTAACTTAAATGCAATCAGGGTAGTATCGACAGCCCTTTCATCAACTCATTTGACAGTGGCAATTCACGTTCACATGTAATAATCGCGACAAGTCATGTAATTGGATAACACTATATAATTGCTAATAATGCTATAAAACTTATGTATATCAAAGTCGTGCCAAGCCGTGTCACTTTCAGGTTTGCCTTATAATCATGTTAATTTGTGTCAAAAATTGTAAGCCCTTTAAAACTCGAATGGCAGTCCCTTGGGGGATTGTGTTTCCTGCTTCGCATATTTTAATTAACTTTTTCCCATCGTTACCACTTTTTTTCTAACGAGGAGAGTGAGTTGCAGTGTCACTGACCAATATCTAACAGACTTGCATCTGGAGCAGCGAGTTGTTGCTCGACCAGAGCATCGTACACATTGATGCGTTCCATTTTTTGAGGAAGCCACAAGAGGGACAACGTCAGCCACAGCCATAGCTTCAGCTTTAAAAGCTTCCTCGGCAGCAAGCTGAGCAAGCAAACTTATCCTCTCTTTCTTCTTTGCAGAATCACTCCACTTCCCAAGTAAAATGTAAGCAACCAAAGGAAACACGACCAAGACAAGAAACAAGATTGGAATATCAGCTTCCCTTGGTTCAAGCATGGTCCCAGTAGCATACTCATGTCCAAAATTAATGTGAACCAGCTATCTGGGGCTAATCTTTGCAACTACTCCAGGGAAACATTCTCAACATGGAGGTTCGCTAAGGAAAACTCTGCTCTGCAAAGCAAACCTGTTGAGTTCCAGGAATCATGATTCTCAGTACACATGAGAGTAGCATCATTGATCAGTCAATAATAATACCTCTTCAAAATAGTGATAACAACGATACGTGCATGACTGTTATCATTCAGAGCAAGCCAGCCGAACAACAAGTTATCAAAAGAGATTAAAAAAAAAAAAAAAAGAAGACAATTGCCTTTTAAATCCTTGTCTACAATCGCTCCTAAAGTGCAAAGGATGTACCACACATGACTCTACAAGTATACACCAGAAGTTTGATGCTGGCTGTCATCGAAAAACTCGAGATTAATCCATAGTTTCCTTTTAAAATGCAACAAGCATTTCTTACCAGCCTTTGGAACAGTAAGTACAATGGAGTTTGCCTTGATTATTTTATTGAGGTGGACAGGAAGGAGAATGCTATTAGATTGGTGCAATAGGTGCGGACTGCGGAGTGCTCTTTCCTCAAACCTAGGGGGCCAAAGGCACGGACTAAGCTGAGAGTCCCTAGAGATAATAGAACAAAAAATCTAGTGAGATATTTCAACAACGCTGACCATTCCACGACTGTGATGGAGGTTTCCGCTTCCATCTTGGGGTCTACCTTGATAGCATCTCAGAGCCAACACATCTAAAGCTCCTAACTTGACTAAGTTTATGTACCCAACCACTACAGTGGCCTAAGGAAGCATTACAAATCCAGCACTAAAGAAGACCAGAAGTTCCAAGATTGCACATCCCCCGCCAAATGAGAAGCCTAAAAAACACTGCCAACATAACCCCCCCTTAAAAACCCAGCATTCTCAAGTGGAACAAGATTCACCATTTTCTCAAGGGGCAAGAAGACCTATTAAAAAAGAAAAAGCTTTACTTCATCCCAACCCAAGAGGCTAACATTGAAGACCATCCCGCAGAGATTCGTCAGGGTGAACCAAGAAGACCCACAATTTCGCAGGCATCATCAAAACCCGAGATGCAAGTACAAAAAGCACACCAAACGGCTGGAAAAATCGAAACCAATGAGCCCCGTACCTCATGTGAGCTGAAGAGAAAATCCAAGCACGACCCACTGTTGGGTTCCAACTTCTTGAGCTCCTCCAATCTTTTCTTCACCAAGAAGGAGGAGAAAGATTCTTTGATTCCACGGATGGTAAGGTAAAAGGCACAAACTTCCCCCGGAAAAAACACAAACTCTCTTCACACTCCGCGCAGACACACACACACACACACACACACACAAACGCACACAGACACACCAGCATAAGTAAATTTTTCAGCTTCCACCTCGCACAGGGCCGAGCTTACTTTTTCAAGATTTTGGGCTCCTCTGCGTCCGGTCACCCGGACTCGAGAAGAACGGGCCGCTTTCAGCACAACCCCCACTCCCCCTCGGGCCACGTGGAGGGCCCTGATTCGCCATTAACTGTCAGGGCGGGTGGGGCCTACCGCGGCGCACCGCCCCCCCCTCCCCCCCCCCTTTCCCCCCTTCGGGGGTGGTGGTGATCTTGAGAGCGCGCGTCCCGATTCGTTCTGCACCGTCGGATCCCTGGAAAAAAAAAACTTCCCCGTACATTTTTTTTTGGTTTTCGTTTATCTATCGGGAGGAAATTCTCGGTTTGATTGGGGGGGTCAAAAGGGAAGAAAAAAACAACCAAAAAAACAACCAGCGTAAGTCAGTGTTCAAACGGGTGGGGCCCGCCGGATGTTCTTCCCAATAATTCCCATCCGAGGGCCACGTGTACGGGTGGGATCGCCGGAGAGGGGGAGGGGTGGGGGATGAATGTTGTCTTGGGGCTGTCCTGTTTTGTCTCGATTTCTTGTATATATGTAAGAGGGTGGGGGGGGGGGGAGAAAAAAAAGAAATTCCTGCAAAATTTCCAGATTTTGGTCCCTCGTGGGCGCCTATCTCCACCGATTTTTTTTTTTTTACCATTGGATCCCCAGAAGACGAAAAGCGAAATTGCATACTCGTCCCGGGCTTTTAGGGTTTTCGCAAATCACCCCCCCCCCCCGACGTATGAAATTTTTCCTAATTTGCCCCGCGAATTCTAGAAGTCGGTTGCAATGCGACCCCTGGAGTTGATTTCGAAGCACGGGACCAGTTGCGGAGGGCAAAGTCGTCATATCAATTTATACGTATAAAAATTTGAAAAGTAATTCGGAATAATTTTATGTGTGAGAGCATGCAACTAGAGTTCCGGCGAGCATTTGACCAGAGTCAATGCCACACACGCGCGTATCAATATACAGTTGTGGAATGCATTTTTTGAGCTGTACTAACATTTTTTTCCACACATGTAAAGATCGTTATAATTAGTTGGCCTTTTATAACCAATCACATGGTTAGCAGCTATGTGAGAAAAATTCGGTTGGAGTCGGAACTGGGGGAGGAATTGCCATGAAATTCAAAAGGCCGGTACGCAAATTGCAAAAATCCGAATATCATGGGACAACTTGTCCCAATCCAAAAAAATTGGGGGAAAATATAATTCTCTCGAAAATAAAAAAATCACAAACTATTTATGTCGGAATATATATCCCACAGTAAAAGATTATAAGTCCACGGTACCCGTGGAAAACTATGGCTCAACATGTGTTTCACGCTTGAATTGATTTTTTTTCAATAGAATGGGGCAGCCCGTGAAATATTATTCCCTTCGCCAAACTTATATAATTGATGCAATGCTTTTTGGTGTACCCCTCTGCCTGCCAAAAAGAAAAGGAAAAAGACAAATTCCCATTGCACAATGATTGCTTTTGTGTTTCATATTTTTCTCCTTTTATTTTCCTTTTTTCCGCTTGAGGAAAAATAGTTTCTCCTTTGATGCAAATGTAAAAAGAAATTCCTCTTGCACAACGGGTGCTTTTTTTCTCTCTTTTTTTCTTTTACTTTCCTTTTTTTTTTGCCTTGTCTTTATGCAATAGCTCATCCTATGTTGGTTGGATTTGAATGGAAAAAAGATAAATAAAGCGTTATTGCCAAATTTGTTGCTTTTTTTTTCCTGTCTGTCTTACTCTAAATTTCTTTTCTCTTTTTTAGGCTTTTGCTATTTTTCTTTGTGAAGCGTAAGAGTTGAATTCCACACTTGAAAATAAATGTCCCCACCTCACCATGTTCCTTATTAATCTTAATATAGTCGGCAGAAAAGAAAAGAGTTTAGAATTATAAAGCGTTATACCACAATTTCTTAATTATCGAAACCTAATTCTTGAAGGAGAGAATGTATTCTTATCTATATTATAAATAGAGAGAGATTAGGAGTTAAACAAATTGTGAATTTCTCGATGTTGACGTGAATGACATGTTTGTGAGTCGGTTTGAGATAGTATTTAATACTATAACAAAGACATGCGTCAAAAAATACAAATCTATCGTGAAGTGACTTAAGTTGATATGTCTCTATTATTGACTATGCCTTTCTTCTTTTTTATAAAATATTTAACCCATTCTTTAAACGAGACGAACAAAATTCTTTATGAGTTTGGAAGTAAATCATCCTTAATTTACTTAATTTGCCCTTATAAATTTTGAAAATTGATTGCAATGTGTCCCCTAGAGTTGATTCCAACCAAATTTCGCTTGGAGCTCTAATCACGTAACTGATTGTGAATGGCAAAGTCGTTATATAAGAATATACAAAAAGTAAAAGAATAATTTAGAAATATATTACATGCGATAGTATGGGACTAAAGTTTCGACATGTATTTGATCGGTATCAACGTCATACGCATATCGATATACAGTTCTAAAATTTGTTTTTTGTAGCATTTATATTTTTTTTTCTCACATATAGAGATGATACATGATCAATTTACCTTTCATAACTAGTCACATGGTTGAATGTATGAGAAAATTTTGTTTAAAGTCAATGTTAGGGAGGAAATTGCTATAAATTTCAAAATTTCAAGGGGCCAAGTGCAAAAAATTATAACATCACAGGGAAACTTGCCCCAATCCCATAACTTGGGGGGAATTTTTAATTCTCTCGAAAATAAAAAATCACAATTATTTGTTAAATGGTTGAGATTTGTTACATTTCAGTTTCAGAATAAAAGATTGTAAGGCCACGGTACTTGTGGGACTATAGCTTGACATGTGTTCCACGGTTAACGACCCATCTATTTTGTAGAAGACGAATGATTTGAAAAATATTTTTCAAAAAATGATTATTTGTATAACTTGAAATAATTAACCAGTAAAAATATTTTCATTATCAATAACAAATTATGTCTGAATAGTTCTATGGACTATAAAAATATTTCTCATTCATCATTTTTATAAGTGATGCAAGCAATCATTTTCTGGAGAATGTTTTCTAAATCATTCATTTTTTTGCAAAATAAACACATCCTAAATCGATTGCTTTGTTTTTGCAACAAAACGATCAACCTGTGAATTATTCCCTTCGCCTTATCACGAGTGGCGGAATAGTTTTTATTGTACTCTCTGCTTGCCAAAAAGAAAAGGAAAAAAGATAAATTCTTATTGTACCGCGATTGCTTTTATGTTTTTTTTTGTCTTTTGGCTTTTGGCTTTTGGGAATATAGTTTCTCCTTTAATGCAATGTAAAAGGAAATTCCTCACGTACAACGGTTGCTTTTTTTCCATTTTTTTTTATTTTTCTTTCTTTTTTTCGTCCTTATGCAATAGTTTTTCCTATTATGCAAGGTTGATTCGATTTAAGCGGAAAAAAAGGATAAAAGCATTATTGCTGAATTTTTCGTTGGACGAGTTAATATTATTTAATTATTATCTACCTCAACATATACAGTTGCTGAAAAAGAAATGAATATAGAATAATAAAGTGTTGTACCGCAAATTCTTAACTGTCAAAACCTAACCCTCATACATTCTTACCTATATTAGATATATGGAGAGAGAGAGAGAGAGAGTCGAATTGGGAGTTAGACAAGCTGTGAATTTCTTGATGTTGAAGTGAGTGACGTGTTAATGAGTCAATAGGAGATAGTATTTAATACCATGACAAAGACCTGGTGTGTCATCTAGAGTTGATTTTGACCAAATGTCGCTTGGAGCTCCGATCATGTAATTGATTGTGGAGGGTAATTCTTATATAAGTATATACATAGAAAAAAGTAAAAAATTGATCTAGAAAAATATTACACGCGAGAGTATATGACTAAAGTTACGGCAAATATATGACCGGAGTCAACGCCACGTGCATATTGATATATAGTTCTGCAATATATATTTTTAGTAGTCTTTATTTTTTTTTCCTCACATATATAGATGATACATGATCAAATTGCCTTTCAAAACTAGCAACATGGTTGGATATGAGAGAAAATTTTGTCTAGAGTCAAAGTTAGGGAGAAAATTGCAACAAATTTCAAGAATTCAAGGTGCAAATTGCAAAAATCGAAACATCACAGGGTAACTTGCCACAATCTCAGAGCTTGGGGGAAATTATAATACTCCCAAAAATAAATAAAAAATTCACAATTATCAAGCTAAAAATTGTTACACTGTCGAAACTTGTTACATTTCCATCTCACAACAAAAGATTATAAGGCCAAGATGCCGATCAGACCGCAACTTGAAATGTGTTCCACACTTGAATCGATTGCTTTGTTTTTTTTGTTTTTGCAATAGGCCAGGGCAATCTGTGAAATATTCCTTTGCCTTATCACTAGTGATGAGATAGTTTTTATTGTACTCTTTGCTCGCCAAAAAGAAAAGGAAAAAGAACAAATTCATATGGTACAATGATTGCTTTTACGTGTTTTTTAGTGCTTTAGGCAATCTAGTTTCTCCTTTGATGCAACATAGAAGGAAATTCCTGTTGTGCAATGGATGCCTTTTTTTTCTCCATTTCTTTCTTTTTCTTGGTCCTTTTTGTCTTATTTTAGCCCCTCTCTCTTTTTTTTTGCTTGGAGTTTTAGGGTCTGCTTGTTTCGCGAAAAATATTTTCCACAAAAACACTTTCCTCATTTTTCGGCGTTTGGTTTGCTTAGGAAAATGAGTTTAAAAAAAATGTTTTCCTAGTCAACGGAAAAAGGTTTTCTTACCAAAACTTAAATTTAGGAAAATGATTTTCTCTTTGAAAAAATCGAAAAACGTTTTCCAAAATATGACAGCTATTAACGCTTAGATCCGAAACTCTACGCTTGGGCACGAAAACCCCAACCCTGATTCCCAAGTAACGACATTCAAGATCAGGTCTCGGCGGCCAAGCTCGAGACCTTAGAGCCCAGGGCCCGGGCCCCCAACACCTACACCCATCGAGGCTGAGCCAAAACCCCTAGTGCTTGTACTCGATGTTTCGGCACTCAAACTCGGGTCCATAAAGGCCGTGCTCAGGTTGTCGATGATCAAGCTCTA